CTGGAATTGCAGATATGTACCAACACATGGAAGAGCTATTCATCAGTTATGTCGCTAAATAATTGGGCTACACTGTGTGAAATTCACCAGTGGTATGTGCTTACACAAAACCAGATAGGATAGCACACTGCACATTTAGCACATGTTATGGAACGAGCTGCACCTCTGCATGGATGGTTTATTTATACCTTCATCACCACAAACATGCAACACTTGTGCTATAATGTGACAGAAAATCACAAGTATATAGCCTCTTCAGATTGACTTCTTTCAACTAATAATACAGATTAAACTCTTTTCATGACTTGAGAGCTCATTTTTAAGTGTGATATTTTAATTACTTTTTGAGAATTTTATACAATGCATTTTGGTCATATTCACCTCCTGTCCCATCTCCTCCCAGATCTACCCTCTCCATCTTCAACTTTCTACACACCCAAATTTGACAACAAAATGCCCCAGTTTAATTTGTGTAGCACAATTACTCTCGGGAATGAGATCTCTTCTGGAGCATGGTTTTATGAGTCACCATACTTTCTATATTGTCAGATAAGCTATGACCCCAGTTCCTAGGAGGTGTACAAAAAACTGAAAATAACAAACCTGTGACCCTGAGCCTAATATTCCTCCTAACCAGGAACAGTTATATGATTCTTTTGTCAGGAAGGATTTTTGTATTAAGCCATTGATATATGGTTTCCTGGGTATGCTAGTTTATTTTAAAGGTTATAAATTCTCTGATAATGCTTTGGGGTGTAGGGACTATGACCCCTTTCCTATGATCAGGACAGGACTAATATCTGATTTGCAAGCAAAAGAACAGGAGAGACAGTTATTTTTTGAAGATAGGTCAAAGAAGACATGCCATTTCAGCCTTCTTGGCAGCATTCCATTGGAGTGTGTCCTTGTTGGGTTTTGTGAGCTTGACACAAACTAGAGAGTCATTTGGAAAGATAAACCTCCACTGAGAAAATGCCTCCATCAGGTTGTAGGCAAGTCTGCATTTTTCTTGATTAATGATTGATATGGGTGGGCCCATCCCATGAGGAAGAATAAAAGGGCACTGCCACCCCTAGATAGGTTGTTACAGGCTGTATAAAAAAGCAGGCTCAGTAAGCAATGGGGAGCAAGCTAGAAAGCAGCACTCCTCCATGGCTTTCTCAGTTCCTGCTTTCAGTTACTGTCTTGGCTTCCCTCAATGGACTATGACCTGGAACATCAGCCAAATAAACTCTTTCCTCCCCAAGTTGTTTATGGTCATGGTTTTAGTGCAGCAACAGAAACTCTAAGACAGAGCCCAGATGGAAGCTACTAAGTCTGCTACTCTCCTGCTCACTGTGGGAAGTTCATGCCACAGAGTGGTTTAACCAATAGTTCTAATAGTATGCCCAGTCTTTCCAGTCAAGTTAGAGGAGACAATCCATCTCACTGTGCAGTAGACCACCTGGTTGTTTCAAATGACTGTACTGTACTGTACTTTGGAGTAATTTACCGGTAAATAGTAACCCTTGCCTTTTCATCCATACAACTGAACTGCTGTGACAAAAACTGAATTAACATTTAAAAAGAAAATGCTTGTAACTATTCATCCCTGGCTTAGAAACTGTGCCATTGTTTTCTCCACCCAGAAAGTTGCATCCCACTCCCCATCCCCCTATGCCCTCCTCCCAAATCTGCTGATGCTAATGTCCTCTGGCACCTCACCCCCAAAAGAGCAGTGTAAAGAAGGGAAAGTGGCCATTATAAGGCTCCCCTCCAGCCTCCTTTAATCTCTATTAAAATACGAGCTCACACAGGGACAGGCAACTCCTTTTAACTGCTGTAAAAGGGCCCTACTCCCACTTTATGGGTGTGATTCTGTGAATTCATCTATTGACCATTGTTCTATTAAAACTTTTATATCAATTCAAGTCTAGTGAGTATCAGTACACTGGCCTTGTCACTCATGAGTCCTCACAAGGCTCTATTATTTTTGTTTTTGTTTTATTTTTTCTTCCCATTTGCTCATTTTCCATATTTCACCACTCACTAAATAAGTTGCTTGATATGATAGTTTGGTTCTAATTTAACAACTATAGTTTAGGTTTCTTTGAGGTGGGCATAGAAGGATGATTTAATGATATCCATGTATGTTCAACGTCAAATCGGAAAAAGTACAGTAGGTGCCAACCGTGCGTGTTTAACGCAAAGCAAATAACGCCTAAACGGTTTTCCTAAAAGTCTACCGAGCATCACATACTTGATACTGCCGTATAAGACTACAAGTCTGAGTGCTGTTAAACATACTACTTGGGGGAGGTAAAGTAGAGTGTTCTGAGAAGTTAGTATTTTCTCACCAACTCCGGGCAACTACTCTCGAAAGTGCTTTTCCCGAATTCGCTCCCGGTTCTGCGGCATGGCCAAGGCGGCCAGCACCAACGGTTCCTAAGGGAAAGTTCTCGGAGAGAGCAAAGGCGGGACTTCCCTTCTGTACGAGCTCGACCAGCTCATCCGCAGCGCTTAGCGTCACCGTGGCCCTGGCAACCGCACGGCCCCGCCCACCGGTGTCCCGCAGAAAGCGGTCCGGGCAGGGCGCGCGGAGCGGAGGCGGTGTGGACCGCGAGTTCGGCGTGGAGCAGGTCGGCCTTCCTTCGGGTCGGGTGGCTGGGGCCGGGTACCCGACGGGCTCCACGGAGGTCGTGCTGCGGGCGAACGCCGTGTGTTTCATGCCTATGGGGACAGATTCGAATGGTTTGAGGCCTAAATGACTAGGAGACTTCCCACCTCGTGAGGAGCTCAGTCCTGGAACAGCCAGCTCCCTGTGAGCGCCATTCTGCCATTCAGGCTTTGGAGTGGTCACGGAAGGAGGAAGACTGTGTATGCTGTTACCGTCAGCCAATAAGCAGAGTCGTTTCCTGTGCCTGTTTCTTGGGAAATTTAAGGACTGTTCCCTTAGGAGACAAACCAGCTTATTATAATGGAAAAAGTAGCCTTTCCCTCTACTTTGAGAAAAATAAAGTTGTCAGGCTGCTATTTGTGCCGGGCTGTGTAGAGCCCCAGAGTTGAGAAGTGAGGTTCATCCTGGATGCCTTCTACAGAATGGTTTTAATTTAGTTGACAAGTATTTTAATCTATCTCAAAGTATGGAAAACAAAAATCAGGAATAGGTGAATCGGAAAGAATTCTACTCTTGCCAGAAGGAAAGCATTACTGAAAGGTGCTTCTCAAAGAACACATTTCTCCATATCAAATACATGGACCCAGTAATCAGTACTCAGAAGTGTAAGATTTGTCTTTGCTCGTGTGGACTAATAAGGAACTGAATTTGAATTTGATTTCGGGCCTAAATAAAGATGTTATATGCAAAGTAGACAGGATGAAACTGCATGAATATAATTAATTTTGGATAAATTGGGTGGAAGGAGTTATAAATTAATATTTCAGCCTAAGTTTCATAATGAATAGACTATCAAGATGATTTGTTCCTTAGGAATAGCCATTGTTTTCTAAGTCTTTCCCATCCCCCACAACTCCAGCTGCATCTCTTTTCACATATTTAAGCATACAATCATATACCCATGTCCTCCTTTTCACTGTCATCACACACACATGCACATACATAACCTGCACAAAAAATATTAAGTGGGAAAGTTCTTACATTGTTTTATCTTCACTAAAGAATCTGAAGGGTATATACTTTGAAAAGTTTAGAATTCTTAGGATCATATATTTCACCTTATAGGATATTTTATAAATATAATTGTCACTAACTGTCTCAGCATTAGCAGATGTGTTATGGTTGACTATATATTCAAATTGGAGAGCAATTTATCTTGTAGAACACCTCCATGTTAGGGAGGAAAAAAAAATGTCTTGTTTTTCTTCTACTTTCACTCCATAAGCATCAGGAATACTTGTGATCTCAAAAGGTGTGGGAATTTATCCCCAGTAGTAATTCTATGATGGACACCAGCTGATGTTCTCAAATTCAGCGCTGGCACTACTAGAGACAGTGTCAGAACCCATAGGCTGACAGTTCAGTCACCAAGATTGTCGCATCCTCATAACCAGTCACAAGCTGGGCCTTGAGAATTTCCTTTCGACTGGCTATAGGCTGAGGTTCCTTCATCCCCTCTTCAGATGCAGTTGATCTTAGGAAACACTATGCCTGAATTTGATGGTTCTTATAAAGATATTTTAACAGATTCAAATGTGCAGACAGGTAGAAGGAAGGGTTCTAAGCTCAGGTACTTCCTCCTGGTGCAGCTTAAATGTACTGCCTTACAGTGAGTTTCCCCCTGAGTGAACTGCCCCGAAGCTCCTGCGTTGGATTTTTATGGAGTGTTTTATAGGCTTGCCTGGTAGCGAGTGTAAGGGAGTCATCAGGGCCTGTCAGATTTTTCAGCTTTCTGTCTTCCAAGGCATAGGCCAGAATCCATTTTGAAATGGGTGTTTGCTCATCTACTATGAAAGTGGGACAATTTCAAGTTAGACTTTCTATGATCTGCCCCGGGGAAGGACTTTTAAGCTAGAACAGTGGTTGGAATCAGGGAAGAAAAGTAAGTGTGTGTGTGTGTGTGTGTGTGTGTGTTGTGTATTCCTAATAGCCAACTGATTTTACTCACACCACTGTAGCTTTTTATTTTCATTAGAGTTCACCATGAGAGTTCTGTCATGGGGTATCAATTCAAAGCTAGAGTCTACATACTTGAATGCATTTCTGGGTGATATGAATATAATTTCATTGTCTTAAATGTTGTATTTGATGTGTTTTTTTTTTAACATAGCACATTTTCATTTTCTGTTGAAAGAATAGTTCGTAAGAGTAACTGAAATCGCTCTTCTGAGTTGATTGTTAATTTTGTGTTTTCGAGTGTATCAGTTCTGTGAGTTTTTAACTTAGTAATGTCTGTTGGTAAATACTAACCCTAACAGTATAAATTATATTGGACAATTTTATTTATAAGAATAACACAACATTGACACTTTTCATTCCTCATTTTAATTTTTCAGTGGCACCTATGACACATGTTTTAGAGACAGAATATTTTGGTTCAAAGAAAGAATGGCTCTCAGTCTGCCTGTCAGTCCTCAAGAAAGTGAAAAGAAGGATGCAAATTGTATGGGTACAAAACAGTCACAAACTACTTCTATAGCTTCAGAAGACCCTCTTCAGGACTTACGCTTAGCCTCTCAGGAAGTGCTTCATAAGGCTCAGCGGAGTGGAAGGTCACGATGTCTCCAATGCGGTGGCTCAAGGATGTTCTACTGCTACACCTGCTATGTCCCAGTGGAAAATGTGCCCACTGAGCAGATTCCATTTGTGCAAGTAAGAGGCTTGTTTGGAAATAGAAAAATGCAATTTAAAAAGATAGCTTATATATAAATGCCTACTCTAATATATTTGATAAGCTTGGAAGTATTGATGGATAATTTGACACTATTAAAACTATATCTCTTTCTTGTTTCTAGAAAACTCACTTTGAAATGAATTATGTAGTTTCAATGACATTAATTAGTTTAAAAAATAATAATTACAGTTTTATAGTCTCACTTGAAGAAGCTTCGAAAACAACTGTAAGTCCTTGTAATGATCCTTGGGAAAACATTATAGGTAGAATCAGAGTGGATATTTACCTGAAATTTTGTGACTTTCCCCATGCGATATAGATTGGCCATGACCATCACTAAAATAAGCTAAAGTGTAAAGGACTGGGGCCTACACATTTGACTGCATTATAATTACAGTGATTTCAAGCCACTTGGAGAGCTGACTTGAATCCATTGCTTTTTTATGATCTGTGGTATTTATCATGACTTTTTATGGGTAGATATAATTATTTATAGGTATATATAATTAAAGAATTTACTGTGTATGTGTTAACTTGTCTAGCATTGACCTAAATGTGAGAAGTAAGTCAAATAATTATATTAAATGGGATCTGCATGTATTAGAGCTTTAGAGAAATTAAATTCTGCACCTAGCACAAATGAGGCTTGCCGCTAACAAATAAATTGAAGTTGTTATTCAGAAATATGTATTGTGATATTTAAAGCTTATTTAGGTTTAAAGTATGAAAGACATTTAATGCTTATTTTGGCAAGTTCATGGTGTCCAGGGAGGGGGCCATGGTCTAAAATCACAAATATAGACGAAGGCGTAGTTTATTAGCCCAGAATGAGGTAATATATTTCCAGTTTTCTCAGAAAAGAAAAAATAAAAGTTTGAGATTAAGGATTTTTGTTAATGTTCTCGCTAATAGGAATGGTACATATCAGAGTCCTGTCTTCTGTTTATGCCACAGCTGCCTAAAGAAAATGTTTCATTAAAAACCTTATCTTGCCAGATGTACTTGCAGCACTTGGGAGGCTGAGGCAGAATGCATAGGAGATGCCATGCCAAGTGAGTCTGAGGCAGGCCTGGATTACTTAGTGTTATAAGTAGGTTTTTCCACTGGCCTGGGCCCACTGCTGCACCAGCCCCAAATAACACACAGAGACTCTCTACTAGATATAAAGCTGTTGGCCAGGTACTAATTTCTTATCGGCTAGCTCTGTCTTAATTATTAACCCATTTCTATTAATCTAAGCACTTCCACGTGGTCTTATCTTACCGGAGAGTTTGGCGTTCTGCTCTTTCTGTTCTCTATCTTGGCTCTCCTCCCTACTACTTCCTCTCTCCTCCGTGTCTCCTCGTCCCGCCTATCTTGCTCTCCCATTGGCCAACAGTGCTTTATTCATTAACCAATAAGAGAAACATATTTACAGAAGGACATCTCCCATCAACTTAGTACAACACTGTCTCATAAATATTCATATATATATATACTATAATATATATATACATATATATATATATATATAAAATCAATTCTGTGTTCTTGATGTAAAGTCTATCAGAACTATTAATGTTAGCCTTTGGAGTTTTAAACTCTATTCATTAACTTGTTGGAAAGTCAGTTTTATTAGGAATAGAAATCTTTGTCACTCCTCTTTCCTAATTCCCATGGCTAAGTTAACACTAACCTGGTATTGAGAGACCTTGGGGAAGGAACTTAGAATACCAGCTGATACTGAGTCTGTGAGGGAAGCAGAATCACACTCACTCAGAAGCAGAGCAGTGTAACACAGTCTCTGAGCTGCCTACTTAGATGGTTCATTTCCTACAGTTAGAAATTGGTATGGTGATTTCATGCAATTGGCTGTATAGGCTGAGTAGGGATGAGACAGGGATAGTGGTGTTGGAATCCTGGTTGGACACTGAGGTACATATTTGTGCCTGCATCCCTATGAGATACTCTATTTATAGCATTCTATGCTCACATAATTGTTCAGAAAGAAAAGAAAGGAAATGTGGTTTACTTTGTAGTGTGCCGCAACTGCTCCTTTAAAAAGCAGCTTTGGAGGCACCTGAAGGGTTAGCCTCTCCCATCAGGGCATCTTATTCTTCACATGGCATTCTCTCTCCTAATGCAGCTCCTTTCTGGGTGCTGAAGGTAAGTCTCTCTGTACAAGACTTGATCATGCTGCCTTGTGTGCGATGCCCTATTCTGCTAATGCTGTCCCATTTTAGAGGCCCAGTCTGGTCCTGAGACTTTGAGGCTCATCTTGAATGACATAGGGTGAGCTATAGGACAAATGATAAGCAGTATCAGTATGCATTTCCAAGTCATTATTTTGAGTTAAAGACACCAAATGGAAAGATCATATTTTATTATTCTATCTATATAAGACCCCAGAAGAAGTAAGCTGAAGTGACAACTGGCTAGTAGGAAAGGAAGGGGAGAGGATACTAGAAGACTTTCTGATGGTGACAGATCATTTTCTTGATCATGGTAGCTAGTTTGCAGGTATAATACAGATTAAAATCTATTAGAATATACACTTAGCATATTTGATTTTTATACTGGAACAGTTTTCTGTTCCAGAGTAAAAAGGCTGCTGTTTGGGACCTGTTCATAGAGCCCTTACCTTTGCATGAAATGAGGGTCTTGGAGATGGTAGATGTACTTACCCCAACAGAGTCTGCAATGAAGAAATTTAAATAGCAAACAAAAAATTAGCTCAAGAAATCCAAGAGAATTATTGTTTTTGAACGGAAGAGTTGATAGATCCTTAATGAAGGGAAATCACTTGAGTAAGTATTATTGAGCTACAACTTGTATCAAGTATAACTTGAGAGGAGTTATTTAAAGCACTTTAAGACTTACTCTGTTGCTGTTTTTCCTACTGACAGTTTAACTTGTGCTGTGAAAATGCGTTGCCTAAGATCACAAAACTTAAGGTAACTTTGACTTGAAAAATGTATAAGGAACAGGATTTCAATTTGAATTTTAAATCTGAATTTTCACCCAAGCTTTCATTTCCTTTGAAAACGGCATAAAGTAAACCTAGAGTTTATAGAAATTACTTTTTAAATGTCCTCACATATCATGGATGCTGATATGTGAGGAACGGTACTAATATGTATATGACAAGTAAGGTATCTATGGGTCATTGTTTTAAGGGCAGGTTCCATGTTGCTTGCTCTGAAGTAGTCGCTTGGGTGCACATGATTAGCATTGGGGTTTGATGGATGACTTTACTGTCCTTGTTACTCTGGGTTAAATGGTGTGGCCTCCAACTGCAAGTGTGCTCGTGAGAGCTCCGTGTGAGCTTATGTGTAGTTTCAGAGGTTTTATATTGATATAAAAGTCAGCACTTTTTACTTCTTTTGTTCGTTTGTCTTATTTTAGCTTCCATTGAAGATTGATATCATTAAGCATCCAAACGAAACAGACGGCAAAAGCACAGCTGTGCACGCCAAGCTTTTAGCACCCAGCTCTGTGAGCATCTACACATACCCGTGCATTCCAGAGTATGAAGGGAAGGACCATGAGGTGGGTGGCTTGGCACTTAGAACCTTCTGGGAGCTTTAACTCCAGCTCCTTTCTGAACTTATTTGAACGTGATTTAATCTTCTTAGCAATCTAGTGTTATGCTCATTTAATGCTAAATATGCACTTGACTTACAGTGATGTCTTCACAGTTTATGTTTCTATATAATTTGAATTTATTTAGAAAGTTATATTTCCAAATTACATCTGAGTTTGATATATTAATGTTTGTCACTTAAATGCCATTTATTTGAGTAAGTGGAACACACTGTTATATTCTTTATACATTCTTGAGACAGAGTAGAAATCAAGATCCTGTTGTCTTAACTAGTAGATGTCAGACCTAAAGTGTGTTTCACAGTCTCCACTATATTATACTATTGTGTATTTCCATCACTAATACCTTTAAAAAAACTATCACACCATTCTCTCCCCTGCCTTATTTATTTTATCTTTCCTTATTATATGAGTAAAAATAGCATTTAGTCATTAAACAGTTAGCCATTATAAACAGTTTCCAGTGGTTATTTTTAAAAAGTGTCATGTAGTTTGCTCTTTTGTCTCTTTGGCTGGCCTGTACCTCTTACAAAGCCCAGGCTGGCCCTGATTTCATGTCCCTGCATCTCTAGTGCTGGGATTATAAAAGTCTAGCACCACACAAATTCAAGATACTATTAACTTGGCTTTGTCAATCATTGAGAAACTTACTTTGAATTAGCATCTCCAGGTAGTATAATATGAATATGTGCTATTAGGAATAAGCTAAAGCTTTACCATATATGGAAGAAAACAAATAATGGGATGAATTTATGCTTACTTTTTAGACATGCAGCATCTCTTTTTCTTAGAGTTTTAAGCCAGAATTTATGTTGAAGATCACAGCAGCATGTAACTAACTTGACTTGGTTTGTTTTAGGTTGTACTTGTTTTTCCCGGGCCTCAGTCCATCTCAATAAAAGATGTTTCTTTTCATCTGCAAAAAAGGATGGAAAGTAAAGGTAGAAGCAAAGCTGATGATCTTGATATGCCACCTTTTAAACTCAAGAGAACCCAGGTGGAGGGAGACTCTGGCTTGAATGAGAGCCTGGGCAGAGGCCCAGCACTGAAGAGAGTGGTCTTCATTGACAGCACCTGGAGCCAGACAAACCAGATAGTCTCTGACGAGCGCCTTCGGGGTAAGGAAATGTGTCTGGGGACTTTCCTCCCGACAGCTTTTATTTAGAAAAGCTTCAAATGTGTAGCTCCTTCAAAAGAAAAGTTACATTTAACCTTGGCATTTGCTTCATTTCTCTTCTCCCTTTCTGTGTTATGTGTGTGTTTATGCATCTGTGTACATTGTTGACGGAACTGTTTGAAAGTAAGCAGTGGGCTTTGCAAAACCGCACTCTAAATACTATTGTTCTTTTTAATAATAAAGACGCTCCTGTGCAACAAAAACAACGCCATCACCATTCCTAAGAACATTAACAGAACTTGTACGATATGTAACACACAGACTTCTTCACATTTTCCAATGAATACAACAATGGCTTTTGTGGCACTTTCCCCCGACACAGCACTCAAACTCAAATTGTTGATGCTTGTATGGCTTTAATTTCTTAACCTAGGACAGTTTCCTAATTTAAATTTGTTTTATTTAGATTTTGGTAAAGTGGTCAGATTGGTTGTTTAATTTCTCATGATTAGACTCAGCCTAGATATTTTGGTTAGCACACTTTTTAGATTATATACATTTATGTGTGTATATGTGTGCCTGTACATACAGAAGCCGAAGGAGGCCAGAAGAGGGCATCAGATCTCTTGGAGCTGGAGTTGCAGGCAGTTGTGAGCTTCCTAATGTGTGTGCTGGGGACCAAGCCTGGGTCCTGTGCATGAACAGGAAGTGCTGTTGACCATTGTTCCATTTCCCCAGCCCCATAGTTAGGGTACTTTAAAGAAAGAATGAATCCAGACTTGTCTATAGCTGGTCCAGTTTGTATCTGTTGTTTGTTGCCATGGTATGCCCTTTCCCTGCCATGTCATCAGTTGTTTGGTTGAACAGTTCATGCAGGGTGAATTGAAGTTACAGACTTACTGTTTTATTAAGTTGGGAGACATATAAACAACGTGTTTCCGTATTTATAATTGACTACTGGATTATGGTGATGCTAGATCATTCCATTGTAAAGTTTATCTTCCTTTAGTATACTGGAGTAATACTTTCAGGGTATAGACTTTCTCAACAATGTTTGATTGATCCATGAGTGATTAATCAATCATTAAATTGAGAAGTGAATAATGGAGAAAGTTTAGTCATGTTAGTTCTTTGTGTTTTAATTGGCCTTTTTATTGCTGGCCTCCATAATTTGTAGTAGTACTGGCTTCATTAGATATAGCAGGATATCTCAGATCTATTTTGACTTTCTTCCAGACACAAACTTGCAGTCATCATTTTCTTAAAGACCTGTGATTCATTTTAGTAGGATCTGATATTAGAAGCTGCATTATGTAAGTTGATTACTACATGTCATTTCTTCAGTGGACAGAGCCAAGAAAACAAATAGGTATACATTTGTGAGTTCACAGTGGTAATCTAACTCAGTTTAATAGTACAAGAATTTCTTTACTTTTATCTTTGCCTTTTATGAAAAAGTCCCCACGTGTGTGTTTATGTGTATATATAATGCATGTGTATATGTGTGTGTACATGTCTTTACATGTATGTAGGCACATGCATGCCATTGAGTGTATGTGGTGGTCAGAGGATGATGTCTGATGTCATCCGTGCCTTCTACCATGTTTCAAACAGAGCCTTTTTTTCACCACACCAGACTAGCTGATGCAAAGCTTCTGAGTGTCCCTTCATCTCTTCTTCTGTCTCACCAAAGATGTTGGGATTGTAGCTGTGTGCGGCTGCATCTTCCTTTACCCGGATTCTGGGATCTACTTAGATACATGCACTTGTGCAGCAGGTGTTACCCTCTGAGCCCCCCCCCCCCCCCCCCGCCTCAGGTCCTTGCTCTTGTGCAGCAGGTGTTACCCTCTGAGCCATTTCCCCCCCCCCACCCCCCGCCTCAGGTCCTTGCTCTTGTGCAGCAGGTGTTACCCTCTGAGCCACCCCCCGGCCTCAGGTCCTTGCTCTTGTGCAGCAGGTGTTACCCTCTGAGCCACCCCCCCCCCCAGGCTCTGGTCCTCATGCTCTTGTACAGTGTCCCTCACTGAGCCATCTCTTGGCCCTGCATGTCTTTTTAGCTTGAGTGAAATGCTGAGCTCCTAATAACAGTTTAAAAGTGACTTTCCTTGCCCAAGTAACACAGCTAATATCCTGAAGTCCAGGAGCTCATACAGTTCCTCTTGTTTCTTTGTACCTTTCTCAGCACTTCCAATATCCTCAGGTGGTTTTTCTAAAAGCTTTAGGAGTTTTCCAGTTACTGAACAGCTTTGTGATTAGAAGGCAAGAGAGCTCAGTTGGTATTGCATGGTTACCAAAAGGTCCCTCAAGAAAAGACATACTACAGTCTTAGTCATTTCCAAACTAAAGGAAGTACAAAGTACAGTTCACAGGCTTAATGAATTTGTTAGCTAATTAATTAGTTTGCACCTGTGAGTCACAAGACTTTGAAGACTTCATTGTTGTTTAGTAGATGAACCCATGCTCTCCTGTGCTTTGAAGGTGTGGGAGATCACTGCCTGCCACAGCCCCTTGTCCCGTTACTACAGAAAGCTACCGATCAGTCTGAAGATTTGTCTGGGATATTTTTTCTTCTTATTACCTTATATGGTAATTTCTAGGTTCAAATGAAAGAACACAAGTAAAGTTCCTGAAAAACCTATAAATGGAATTATTTTTGTACTATTCAAAGTCAGTCTGTTTAGGTTTGCCCGAAATGAGATTTGTACAACAGATTGGTTCCTCCTTCCTGATTCCCATAGAAAGCACGCATCTTACTTCTGTGCTGGCTCATAACCATGAAATGAGTCTCTAAAAGCAACTCTCTCTAATTTAGCCCCTGCCTCTTCTGACTCCTCAGGAATCACAAGGTAGGCCATACACATAGCCTCCATGTTTGAGAAAGATTTCTGGATAAACCAAATTGCCTCTATAAGAAATGATCTATGTTTGTGACTAACCGTGGGCTTTAGATCTTAAAACACTTTCTCACTTGGTTAAGCTGAACAAACCATGCTTCAGCTCTCAGATGTATGTATTAGGAGTTCTGCCTCCATAGTAGTGTTCTGAATGCTCAAATTAAGGATCACTATAACAGGCTGGGGACATGGCTCACTGGTTAAGCCATGGATGCAGTTCCCAGCACCTACATATTAGCTCACAACCACCAGGGCATCCAACACCCTCTTCTGAGACATGCACATGGCATACACTCATACATATGTACAGGCAGACACTCCTGCACATAAAATAAAGCAAATAGACGTAGAAAATTACCTTGCTAGTGAAATGCTTTGCTGAAGTTTACAGCAACAACAGCTCTGGACATTTTACTAGTGTCAGAATAAAACACTGAGAGGTAAGAGTTGGTGTATTCATGTATAATCTACCTAAAGCCAAAGTACAGCCTGGCATAGCATTCTGGAAGAGTCATCAGAGGGCACTGGGAAAATGTGGAGGATAGATGGATTCCAGATTATTAAATTGTCAGTGGACCGTCATGTCTTCCACACCTAGGCAGGTCTTTCCCTTCGTTTTTGACAACACTGATACAGTTTTTGAAATGGCACTTTTGTTTGTGTTTTAAATACTGTTATTTCAGGGTCTTTGCATTCAGTCATTATCTATCAGCGTATTAGGTTGATGTAACACCAAGCCTGTCATGCACTGAACTCGTTTAGTGCAGTTAAATGCCCTGGCTGTGGTGGCCTAGCTGTTATGCCTTGTGGCAGCTGTTTACCCCCAGAGTCTCAGCATATTGTTATACTGTACATTGCCACACTAGAAAAGATAGAGATGACATAGAGACACTTACATTTGAGAGTTCATTTATTCTCAGCAGTATTTGTCTCTGCGTTGACTCTCGGCAAGAGCTTCTCCAGGCTGAGAGCAGCACTGGTCTATAAGACTAAACAGAAATATTTAGAAAGCTGTTTGACAACATGTTCATTTAAGGAAAGCACAGTACTGTGTTCTTCCCTTTGGCCATGCCTTCCGCAGCCCTAAGCTTTTGACCCAAGTTTAGAGTGTGTGTTCTTTCCCATGGAGTGGGCCTCAAATTCACTCACAGAGAGGTTGCTTAGCCTCCAAATAGTTATGCCATTATTGCATCAAGAGGTATGTCTTGCTTGGCAGCTTGATATTGAATACACATGGTCTATGGTGAGTGAGCAGCCTGAGTAGCACCTTCCAGCACTGGGAATGCTAGCATGCTAGCCAGCAGGGAAGAAGGGTTGCACTGTGTAGCTAGCTCTGGTGGCCTGCTACTCATTGTGCAGCCCACAGTGGCCTAAAGTCACAAGTATGCACTACCACACATGCATTTTTCTGTTTGTTTTTTTTTCTTTTTTCCTGAAATAAGTTTTAAAATGTTTTTATATTCTTATTTATTCTGTTTTAAAATAATCCTGTCTGAATTATTTCAGAGAATTGTACATATAGCATTTTAAAAAGTTCAAAGCTGTTTTATACTGCACTGTGTATTTGAAATTGTATAACTTTTGACCACTTTGTTGCTTAGTGTTCCTCCCCCCCCCACCCCTCCACTTGCTTTGCTGAAACATAAGATATATTTTAAGGATCCCTTTAAGGGTCCTGTTGGCAGAGGTAGCCTGTGCTTGTCTGTGACATCACTCCCGTCTCTGTGATACATTATTTTCTAGGTTCACGTTTTAACTTGCTTATTGCTCTGTTGTCTAATGAGTTTTGTTGTTGCTAAAGATGTTTCATGTTACTTTACTTAGCAGTCCTTTACACAAAATGTGTCCCTCTTAATTCTTTTAACTAGATGACAAAGTTGGCAGGTATTAAGGCACTTCCTCCGTACTTCAGTTTGGTTGATGCCCTGTTGCTCTCCCTACCCCGATGCTCCCCTTTCCCCACATGTACTCCTATCTGCGTATACATATTTAACAATTTGATGAGAGCGAATTCTCATATTTGTCATTGTGAGTCTGGTGACTTCACTTTATGCAGTGTTTTCCAGTTTCATGTATTTTCCTGCAGTTTTTTAAAATCTTATCTTTTCCTTACATCCAAAGAGAACTCCATGGAATACTTACTGTTTTCCTTATCCATTGATCTGTTGGTGGACATGTAGGCTGACTTCATTTCCTTACTATCGTATAAAAATCGGTGATGACCGTGGATACAAGAGAATCTCTCTGGTATGATAAGTCAATTGAGTTTATTCCCAGGAGGGGTATAGTGAGGCTGTGTGTTAGTTCCATTATTAGTGTTTTGAAAAACCTTCATAGTGACTTCAACAGTGTCTACACAGTTTACATTCCTACTAGCAATGAGTAACAGTTCCTTTTTCCTAAGCTCCCCACCTTGTAGAGATCTCTTACGTCCTTTGTTATTTCTAGATAGCTGGTTTTGCTGTGTTCTGCTTTGGATGCAATTATAGTGAAATATTGTTTCCCGATTTCTTTCTCTGCAAATCTGTTGTTGGTGCATACAAAGGCCACTGGGTTCTGTATCCATTGACTTTGATGAACGTGTTTATTAGACCCAAAAGTTCTCTGGTGGAGCCCATGGGGGTGTTTTAAGTGTAGAATTACATTGTCTGTAAGAAGCAAATATCTTCCTTTCCAACTTTGATCCTCCCTATATCTTTCTCATATCTTACTGCTCTAGCTAAAGCTTCAAGAATTAAATGGAATAGGAATCAAGAAAATGGGCATTCTTATCTGTTCAAGATTTTAAAGGAAACGCTGTTTCCCTTTGTTTAGTACAATTTTGGCTGTTATTTGTCATAAATAGCTTTTTTACCATATTGTGGTATGTTCTATCTGATTTTACTTTCTTGAGGTCTTTTATATGAAGGCATGTTGAAAGTAGTTAAGGGTTTATACTGGTTTAATAGAAAGAGGTTTTCTTCTAAGATACATAACTTCACTATCCCTGGGTAGATGGCTAGGTTTTTAGTATCAGGTATGCTTTCTCTCTCCAGTGGGTTTGGTTAAGTCTGATTAGAGAGCTGTTGGTTACCCCCAGGATATGGGGGCCATTGCTATACCTTAGGATTATTGTGCTATGCTGGTTGTTGTGGTTCATAGGCATCATAGCTGGATAGAACTATTGGTTGCTTCCCTCTTTTGGAAGCTTACATGGTGCCTTCTGGTACCACGAAAGCTGGTCCTCAGGGAAGAGGCTGTCGGGCCCACTCAAGGACCTGTGAATGCTGTGTCTGAAGTGCTTACTATCTTTAGCAGTAGGGACTTTTACCTTCCACCTCTGGGGGGCAACCAAGGGCAGTAACAATAACCTGTAATGTTTTTGAGTCTCTTGGAAACATTGACCAACAACAACTCAAAAGAGGGCTTTTCATGGCTGGTGTTGGGGGTTTTATTAGATCTTTGGCTCTTGGAGGGAACATTGTCAGCCCAGATCAGAAAATTTCATTTAAACTATGTATGTATGTTTATACATCTACTTATATGTGTTATAGGTTTTTTAGGTAGTTAATAATATGACTCCTTATAACTTGTTCAGACTTCCTTACTGTTATTTTACCTTCCTCCTTCTTCTTTATTTATCTCCCCACCTCCCTAGTTAGAGCCTACAACAAAATATAAAAGGAAAATTGAGAGAGAGAGAGAGAGAGAGAAAGAGAGGGAGGGAGAGAGAGAGAGAGAGAGAGAGAGAGAGAGAGAGAGAGAATAAAAACTATTTCAGAGGAATAAAATCACTTTATCAGATAAATCTTTTTCACAAATGGATAATGAAGTTCTGTTGACAACTCAAACTTTAAAAAGGAGCTTTAGATAGAAACTAGCAGGATTGAAACCCCAAGATAGAAGACTGTCTTGATTGTTGACTTTTTAATGTCTGAGAACCATAGAGAATGGGGATGCACACAGTCCCATTCTGTGCCGTGATGTTTCTCTATGTACCACTGTACATTTAAAACAATACCCTGTTTAGAATTGGAATGGAAGGGACTTATCTGTACTTTTTAAAAAAATGCTTGATGTAATTAAACCATCATTGTGTATCAGTGCATATTATTGTACCAGTTATTATTATTGTCCCCAGTAATAATATGATTGAGAAGTATTTACATGGTCTCTTTTTTGTTTATTTGGCAGAGTTATTACAAGTTGAACTGAAAACAAGAAAAACTTGCTTTTGGCGCCATCAAAAAGGGAAGCCAGATACTTTCCTTTCCACAATTGAAGCCATTTATTACTTCCTGGTAGACTACCATACTGACATGCTGAAAGAAAAGTACAAAGGACAATATGACAATCTTTTATTCTTCTATTCTTTTATGTACCGCTTGATAAAGAATGCCAAAGGCTCTGGAGAGAAGACAAAACCAAAACTCATCCATTAGTTCCGCACACTTCGCTGGTTATATTGCTCTGCTAATGTCCACAAGCTTGCAGTTGAGCCTGTTTCCTCTGGAGAAATCATGCCCAGTGCCTATGAGAGGACTCGGGAGGAAAGTTCCAGCTTTGTCCCTTTTTAAAGAGATGGTTCTGCTTGTAAGACATAGTTCAGAAGCTATTTGCTCAGTTTGGGCATATCTCAGCTGTATTGTGCATTTTAATATGTTGTGTTACATTTACGTGATTGACATTATATATGATTAGAGATTGTCTTACCTTTTCATTTAGCTTCACCTTCAGCTTTGGACTTAAAGTCAGAATCTTTTGGCAGAACAAAAATGGTGCAACATAATTTGCTTGGGGTTAGGGACAGAATTGGCAGAGGTAGTGTGTTGTGCTCTCTGTGTAAGTCCTCCCTTCCTCCTCTGCCTGGCCTCTGCACTAGGAGAGAACTGTGGCATCACGTGGTCCCGGCAGAGGGATGTGCATATGACCTGTTTTGGCAAGTCAGGTGACCCAGGGCTAAGAGCACATGGCCCAACAGAATTGGGCCTGTTTTGGTATGCTAGGGATGCCATAGGAGAATGGAACTTGGTTTTTCAAGAGTGAACAATATGGGGTTAAACTAAAATTCCTTCATGTTTAAAACATATCTTTAGAAATAAAGCTCAGCTTAAATTGATTTAAGTATGGCAAAGTCTAGATTGGGGTGGGGTAGGGTAGGGATGTATGCTAAAGTTAGACTTCTCTGAGCCAAATCTATTGCCATCTCTGTAGTTCTACAAACCATCAAAACAATTTAAAGGTTGAAGGAAAAGAGGAGAGAAATATCTTACCACTCATTTGGCCATCTCACAACAGCCATAAGAAAGAAGACCTCATGCCTTGGATGAGAGCACTGCACAGCCCGGCAGCCAGATAAAGTCCTTTCCAAAAGCAGAGGATACCTGCAGGAATAACGAACTGGCCGTGTTTCTCTTTGTATGATAAGCTCTAAAAATGGCCTTAACCTGCTGCTCCCCATATAATGGCCCTTCAGCCATTCTTTTGTTGCTTTGAAGTACCCCTCACTCTGAATCTGAGCCAAAACATTTCCAAGATGACTGTATTTCTATTTTTGTGCTTTGGGTGTTGATGTATAAATGTGCATGGCTATGCTAACCTCCTGGCAGGTGCAACATTGCCCTTATCCTGCCTGACTCCTGATGCATGTGCAGGGAGTGCCTTATGGCACTGGCATTAAACTGTTCCACAGCATTGTTGTGGCAGTAGACAGCCCATCTTTAGATACTGTATCAGATGCATCTCTAGCATCCACCAAGGTTTTTAGCCCCATTATTTCTTAGCTCCCAATAAATGGCTTTGTCTTAGTTCCCATCTTATACACTGACAATACCAGTAGGTTTTCAGGATTCCCTGTGGCTGCCAAAAAGGTTTTTGGATATGACCTGCAATGTTAGTGAAACTGACTAGATTAATGGCCTAGCTGTGTCTGGTACACTTCTCTCCCTTCAGAAGACTGTTTTCAGGTACTCAGCCTGCTCATCCTGACATGGTTATTTGCTTAGGCAAGCATACTTGCCAAGAGACTGACATTCTCTTTGTGGACTCCATGCCACAACAGCAGATGCTGTCCAGTGAGTTGTCAAGTTTGCATTTGGTTTGCCTCCTTGCTGGTTTCTTTTCCTTCCGTCAGTTTTACCACCCAGGATCATGCAGTCTAATAAAGTTGCAAATTCAAGCATACCCTCAGACTCTTCCAGGGAGGCCAGCTATTTTTAGGTGGGATTTGGTCAGAAAAGCAGACATCACTCAAAGTGTTAGAATACTTTTTTTCATACAAGTGTAATAAAGGGATTGGGGTTTCCCCAAAGGTGAAGTTATTGGGGGGAGGAAGTCTGGAAGTCTGGAGCAAGGCAGGGAAGGGCTGGAGAGACAGCAGAGCTGCCCAGTACCCAGGCCTGACCATACAGACCTGTAAGGCTTGGACTTGGAAAGCCTCTTCATCACTCCTCCACACCTCCAGGCCGACATGGCCTTCTCAACCCATCTGAAGCCTTAAGAAGTCTAAGGGACTTCACTTGGTCTTTTCAGTGAGCCCGGGTTAATTTGGTCTTTGTTCCAGGCCTGTGTTTAATAATGATTTTATTTGATGAAAAAGAATTTCATTTTCAATGCAGAATCCTAGGTTCTGTGCTTCCTCTCAGTCCCATCTGCATGCCATCTCATCTCCGAGCTCTCCTTACAGTGCCTTATCTATTGCTGTGACCAGCAGCTGGCTTTCTCGGAATCTCCCCAGTTATCACAAGTACAGTAGGTATGCAGGAAAACTGATGTCTTCCGTGTAACGGAAGGATGATGTATCAATGTTTGGTCTCCAAATACTAATGGTTAAATGGCTTCAATGAGAACTATTGCTAATTATTTAATGAACTTTAATTGATGACCATCAGCTGAAAAAAAAATCACTGCTCATTCATAAGAAGCATTTATCACCAGATAATGGATACAGTCCACAACATGAAAAATGGAAGGAAAAGTGTTGAACACAAAGGGAAAAGACTATGAGTATTTTTAAGAAGATGTATTTATTAAAAATTACAATTTGGTAGTATATAATGAAAAAGAGATCCTAGAAATTAAAGACCTACCTAAATAATTCAATGCAAGAGTTGGAAGATGAAGTATCAGAATAGAAAATTGTAATTTCTAATTACTTGTAAGCCTTGTTAGATGTTGTAACTGAGATCATGGACTACATGTACATTACTGAATAAAGCAAACACAGCAACCTGAAATGTGAATGACAGTGCTTTGATTCGTCACACTCTTCATTGTAAAGGGGAAGGTTGACGACACAGAATAGTAAATCACAAATAATAAGCAACAGCAGGTGACAGGACTTTATTAATCCGTACATGTATCCAGGTTATGATGATACTGAGTTTCCTGAGGGACCATCCAGAGAAGCCAAGGCTACCTTCAAATTTTTTAATTAAAAAAATATGATTACAGTGTGTGTGTGTGTGTGTGTGTGTGTGTGTGTGTGTGTGTGTATGGTTTGTAAGGGTGAGGGTTTGTACAGCTGCATGCCTACATGGGTGTGGAGTGTGTTCTCCTCCACCTTTACGTGGATCTTCGGGATCAAAAGTAGGTCATTATGTTTATGCTCCAAGGATCTTTACCCACTGAGCCATCTCAACAGCTCTCCAAATTATTTTTAACCATAACATTTTCATATCCTTTTGAGATTCTAGGAAAAACAACTATATTTTACATATTGGTTGTGGTAAGTACTATGTACTCGTTACATATTTATGGTGGAATATTGTGTCATGGATAAATTTGATTCACAGATGCAGTAGTGTTCATACCCTCAGTTGACAGAGTAATACCTATCAGTAAGTATCTTAGTAATTCTATCACTATACTAGAATTAATTAATTAACTTTAACTAGCTACTATCCCATAACGTGAAACTAAGACCACTCCTGGCACAAGTTGATAGCCTTCACTAGCAGTAAGGTGAAATTTTTCCTGTAGGAGAGAATTCACTCTGTGGTGCATTCGGTAACTATCAAAAGACTGGGAAAGGACACAGGTTTAAGAATAACAGGACTGAGTGGCTAAAGTCCTGACATTCTGGAGAAGAATCCTTTGAATGCAAACAAAGCTCATTCAGAATTCTGTACTCTAAGTGACTGAGCTGCCAATTATTGCAGGTGACGACCCAGAGCTATAGTAAGAGCTCCAGAACAGAGATGCTTTTCACCCCTGCAGATCTGTGACCTGTAGCACAATCCCTGAGCACCCTGGCCCTGAGCCCAGAGTCAGGGAAAGAAACATCCTGGATTTGGGACCTGATTCAGCAAAAGAAACACTTTATCCCTGAACCCAGAGCCAGAGATAAATACCCTGACTGTGAAACCAGAGTCAAACACATGCACACGCACACGCGCACGCGCGCGCGCACGCACGCACGCACGCACGCACGCACGCACGCACGCACACACACACACACACACACACACACACACACACACACACACACACACACACACACACACACACACTTTGCCCCTAGAATCAGAGCCAGTTAAAGAAATTCTCCCTGGCCCTAAAATTGGAGCCTAAAAAGGACCAGAGAAAGAAACACAGTTTGGCCCTGAAATCAAAGCCATCTCTGCTCCTGACATAAAGCCATCCAATCCATGAGCAGGAAAAACTGACCAATCCCTGAATAGGGAAGTAGTAACATCTGGTCTAGAGGTATGGCCTTTCTTGGACCACAGAGAAGGGAAGTAGTAATCTCTAGTCTAGAGGCTCAACTCCCCAAAGCTTTAAGCCTATGGAAGTAGTATCCCCTAGCCTAGAGATGTACCATGAACTTTTCTGGACTTCAGCCCAGAGGGGCAGCCTGTAGACTTGGAAATTCCCCCTCACCCCATGGAGGGGACAGCCAATCAGGAGCCTGAAGGCTTGGGAATCCCTCTATAAAAGATCCCATTTGGGGTCTTTCCTGTTGCTGCTGCTCAGGATGGATGGAGGGATACAAGTTAACTTGTAATAAAGACTTATAAAAACTTTTTTTTTTTTGCCTCAGTTTGGGTCTTGTGGTGCTAATTTGGGAATCTGGACTGGACTTTGAGCATAGATAGTCAGCAGCATGAAAAATGCTAGTTAAGATCCAGATTCATTTCTCAATGATTTGGAACCCAAGTGTGTAATGTCTTCAGCCGACAGGCTTTTATGATCTCATCCTGGTGGGCAACCAAGACCACTAACAATAGTTATGACATTTTGGAGCCTCTTGAGCCTTCCTGACCAACCACTCACAGGGAGAGATCCCACACCCATCACTGGGATTTTCATTTCAAATGCCTCGTTTGGGGGAGGAACATTCTGGGAGGAGGCATCTATGCAGGGTTCCTCCATTAGATACTAAAAGCTGGCAGTTTGGAGGCTTGCTGGTGCCATGCCTTGCTGCTGGCAGTGAGTGAGTTCTTTCTTGAATAAAGATCTGGAGGTCCAGCTTTGTTTAATACAATCCATCCCTCGTTCCATATAGATTATTTCTCCTTACGTCTGGGAAATCATTTCTAAAGAATTCAAAAAGAATAGCAGAGAAGACAGGTCTAGAGCAAAACTCACTACACACACACACACACACACACACACACACACACACACACACACACTTATGTATATATGTGTTCCCATCAGAAGGTGTGACCAGATTAGAGATGGGTTAATCAAATGTACTGGATTAAACGTATGTCTTCCTATCTCTAGATCCAGATTAAAAGTGTCTTTTTCCAGCTCAAAAGATCTGTATTAAAGATGTGTCTTCCTATGTCCAAAGATCCAGATTAGGAGTGGATCTTCCTACAACAAGTTGAGCAAAAGTCCCTCACAGATGTGCCCTCCATTTTGGGGTTTGAGTTAATTCCAGATGTAGTCAAGTTGATAACCAAGAATAGCCATCACACTTGAGATCACAGTGTCTTTTCTCATCTGTCGTTTTCTGGACACAAGGAACAAAAGTATCCAGGAAGCTGATGCACCTTGCAGTTCTTGTTTTTCATAGATGTTTGGCCATATTGTCTCGAAAAAGTGAGTCTCCTTTTGAGATCAAGGTTCAGAGGCACAAAAACAGGAAGTACAAAGGGAGTCCCAGTCAGCTACAGTACAATAATGGCATGACTTTTGTGGTGATAACCAAGTGCTTTATGTATTGCGGTAAATAAGGATCAGGATAAACAAATAGGCCGAATAGATGTTTATTCAGGGAGAAATAACTTACAACCTAGACAGATGAACACCAGGAAATTCAACCCGATCCTCTCCTGTCCGAGTCACGCCAGAAAGAGAGAGCGCCTTCCTGGCCCCCTCCGACCTCCTTCCTCAGGTCCTCTCCGCCCATCGCTCCACCCCCCAATGGGCGTGGTCAGTGCTACAGAAGGACTACCTCACTACAATTCCCCTTTTAGTCTAAAGAAAAGATTTAGGCTTAATACAAAACTATATACAAAACAGTGAATAACAAGTGTGCACTAAGAAAAGGAAAATCGAGAACAAAATGACCTACATATCTAGTCCTAGGGTGAGGGCATAATGGAGTTTACAATAGAGTTGTCCTAAGCTGGAAAACGTAAGTCTAGTACCTAATATATCTAACTAGGAAGAGAGAATAATAGTTGTGATAGTTTAATCTTCAACCTCATCAAGACCTGAGAAGGAAAATAACAATACTAGAGTAGACAGGAAATGCGGATGGACAACTTCCAAAAGGTGCAGCAAGGACAGAAACAGCAAGCCACCTGAACAGTCACCCTAGGTCTCACAGCGACGTTGGTACACCCAGATTTGGCTAAGGCCAAGAGAAATTGATAGACCACAACAACAGCAGGGAAATAGAATGGCTGTCTTACCCTGACTTGGCAAGGTCAAGCAGTCTTCTATATTTGTCTCCTGCAAGCACATAGGACTGCATGTCCAAATCAGTGGTCAAGGTGGGGGCAATTCTATGCCCAACAGGCCATTAGCTGAGGCGAGATTGAACTCCAGCAGGAGCAACAACAGTGTCCAACATATTTTCAGGAAAGTGCACGGTGCTGTCAGGAGCAACAGTGTCTCATGTCAATGGAGTACTAATATTAAAACATTTAAATGCCATGTTCTGCATGTCTATGAAGTGATTGAAGATTAAGCATCTATATCTAACTAATCTCATAGGTACAGGAAATGTGAGTGAAGATAATCTGTAATACTCGGGAACTTAGCTAAAAAGACTGATTAAAACTTTCCTGAGTAAAGCAGGAACAAATACTTAAACAATATAACTATTTACATTTATGGTTAGCTTTGAGATCTGTTCCAGAGAAAAAAACTCATGCCTGGTATTATGAAACTGGCCTACATACTGTGGCCGTAAAGGTCAGAGGCCATAGGGGAGATGCTATTGTTTGGTAAATGGAGATGGGTCCAGCTATCTTCTAAATATTTGCATGTAAACCCATAGATTATTGATGTATCAACTTGCATCAGAGAAGTTTCTTTGGTTAATACAAAGCCTTACAATTAACTGTTGAAAGTGGTTAATAAGTAGTTGTGGATTTCTTGGCCAAAGTGGGAAATCTCTAACTCCCCCCATCCCCAATGAAACTCAGGAATCATGAAAGGGGGTGGGTTGTGAAGAAGCGATGTAAAACTAATCTTTTCACACAATTATTGTCAGAGATTTCCCACAGAGTGGTATATGTACTTACTGTATCAAATGTTTGCTGTTGTAACATTTTTCCTCTTTAGGTTTTTTAATTAAGATTTATTTATTTGCGTGTATATTCAGGTGTTGTGGGTGCATGTGTGCCATGGTGCACATGTGGGGGTCAGAGAACAACTTTTGGTAATGAGTTCTCTTGTTCTACCATGTAGAGGCCTGGGGATTTGTTCTGAGGCTTGGTAGCAGACAGCTTTAGCCACTGTGCCATCCCGCAGGCCTGTCCTTCAGTTTCTAAAGCAAATACTTCACAAACATTTTAAGAGTCTAACTCCAGAGAATCGTTTAGTTTGCAATTTAAACTACTTTGTCTAGAGAAGATGAAGAAAGAAAGGTGTGTGGAAGGGGGAAGAAAAGATTGGAAGAAAGGAAGGAGGGAGGGACAAGAAAGAGACAGAGAGGAGAGAGAGAGAGAGAGAGAGAGAGAGGAGAGAGAGAGAGAGAAGCAGGAAATACACTTATTGAACCAAGTGGCCCGCTGCTTTATAATCTTAGATGGAAAAGGGTTTTTGTTTGTTT